GAAGTGAGACTTGTAAAAATAAACACGTAATCATTTTTAGCTACCTGCCAGATTAGCGATATGTAGCATACACTCACTTCATGTTTCTGATCGAGACACACTAACTGTTTCATAACAACATGTGCCCATCAGCTTCTGCAGATTTAACCGGCTTTGACAAGGCTCACAGTCCAAAAAAAGAACAAACCCTTGGAAAAAAAAGGTTCCTCTGTATCCCTCAAGGATTTTGTATCCCTTTTTTCCTTCTTTCTATGTGACATCAAGCTTATTTTCATTTCCATTGAAGACCAAACGCTGCTTCAGAGTTTTGTCCTGAGGGCTGCTTGAGTATACATATAGAGATGTGGTGTATAGTATCATCTCATATGATATGTAATCATATAGTTATAGTTAAAAAAACCTGCATATTCCTCATTTATAGTACTATATAATATAAACTAATATTAATATTAAAGGGTTAGTTCACCCAAAAATTATTTCCTCACCCTCAAGCCATCCTAGGTGTATATGACTTTCTTCTTTCAGCCAGTTTTATTTTTAAAAATATCCTGGCTCTTCCAAGCTTTATAATGGGAGTGAGTAGTAACTGAGATTTTGAAGCCCAAAAAAGTGCATCCATCCAACATAAAAGTAATTCATACACCTAAGATGTCTTAAGAGTGAGTATTATGGAATAATTTTGGGTGAACTAACCCTTTAAAGCTGCAGTCCGGCGTTTTTCCTCTTTGTCGCCATCTCTGTTCGAAATCTGCAATTGCAGTCATTCGCGGAATTATCAACTTTACGTGAGTTGTGCTTTCGACACGGCACAGCGTGGATGAACACAATGTTTGAGGAGAGTGTGAGGCTGTCAGTCACCGCGCCGCGCCGGTGTAGATACTGTCATTCAGAATCACAGATGATTCTTTTTGGAAGTATGACCAACATAAGAATTTTCAACGGAAAATGTCATCTGAACAAGTAAGAAACATCCACTTTTGTTCTGGTTCTGAAATTGCAATAAATCGCGCTGATTAAATCTAACAATTGCTTATCATATCACGCAAAACCGTGCAAATTATACTTTGTTCTCAAATTGTTAATGTTAACAACGTCAGCATTGCGTGACTACTTGTAATGTCCTTCCGATATGTATCCTTGTTTTCGCATGGGTCCGGTTGCAGTCTCTTTTTTCTGTAGCCACTCCGAAGTCCGAACGAAGTCTTTTGCATTTTACAGCGGGTGAATCTCTAGTTGTCACTGGTGATTGTCGTTTGAACCTTTCTGGATCTGCCATCAAATTGATAAGTTTAATTATATCAAGTGCTGTGAGAAAAGGCTATAAATCTCCACCTCCAACATCCTCACCAGCCTTCTAGCCGAGACTCCTTCTTTATGTGTACAGATGTGACGTAATGACGCAAAGACATGCTCGAATCTCCCGCGGAAATCCACCAGTACCACTGGAATTAAAAACATAATTACAAGCTTACCGCTTTGAATCGAGCTAAGGCAAGCAGATAGTTTTGAACACTGGCTGGTTATGTATTTTGGATAATTTTTAACCCCAAAAAAGCTACGGACTGCAGCTTTAACTTTTAACATAATATAATATACAGCAATGCAAAGCACTATTCACCTCTCTTATTGTCACTTTAATGGATCAGTTCACCCCAAAAATTCAATTAAATCTTTAAACGAATGATAATTTTAAATAATAACAGCATACAGATTTGGACTGGTTTGAGGTTGAACAAATAATGCCAGATTACATTTTTTTTGGATGCACTGTTCCTTTAACCAATATGGTCTGTTTTGAATCCTACTGTATATGGTAACTGTGTATGTGAAGGGTTAATGAGGCTCCGAACTCTCCAGAGAAAGTGTTGTTAACTCCTACAGATTTCATTTTGTGCTCCGCATTAAACCCTTAGGCCGTCTGGAAGCCTGAGCCCTTCAATCACTCTCTGCACTGCACAGCCCGGACTAGTGATAAAACGCCAAATGCCACCAGTGGTAACCATGACAACAACACCGCTCAATCTAGGTTCATCGTTTTGCCCTCTCTAATGGTGCCCCATGTAGAGGACACAGTTGTAAAATGCAGCAATTTCAGGTAATTCCCCTCTATGTACGATGCACAAGCGTATTGGATCGGACAGCTAAAGTTACGCTGGTCTGTCGGATACTTGGGATGCCTGGCTTTTGTTGTCTGTTTGTGCACATCTGCAGGGCTTAAACGTGCTTTGGGCGCATCGATTTGGTTCTCGGCAAATTGTTTTGTCCCCTGAGCCCTTATTCTGAGTCTCAGATTTTTATTCAGTATTTTAAGAGCTTATTTTTGCTCTTTAAAGGAGTGCTAAGCTGCTCTCTTAGATCGCAGCGGCGCTGCCTGTGAAACTGCGTGTGGGGCTTTGTGCTGTTATCACACACAACACCACAACAGGTACGACAGCGAAATTCAACACGGGAGGATGTGGAGGAAAACGTGTTTTTGCAAAATGAGACATACTTGACAATTACTGATCACAAAGTTCATCCAAAAATCGAAATTAAAATGATTTTCTTTGTTCTATGAAACAAACAAAGTTTAACAAACAAAGTTATCTTGTCCTTAATGAAAGTGAAAGGTGTTCCCACACCAGGTTTGTTATTAATAATGGAAAATGCCATTGGTTCAATTGAGAGATCTCAATATGCAAATAACAAAAATCTACAGTTAATCAATAGTATGGAGTATTAGAAGCTCCATACTAGACCCGCCTGCTCAAACCCTATTTTGGTGTTAAAATCTACTGTCAGGATTTACTAAAGACACGCAGTGAAAAATTTGCGCTGAAAAGGCGTGGACAGGGTTATTTTTGCGGCTGACCTTATTGCACATGCATTTGTAGGACTTTCCCTTTCAGATGCAAAATTTATGGGAGGAGAGTATTTAAATGAATCACGCAAGGTGATTTACTAAGGTTTGCGCTAGTCAATTAACTGGTATTTGCACCATTATTTACCGCCCCAAAAAAAGCATGTCTTAAACCAGATGCTACTTTGCGCTGCTCTCTGTAGATTGCGTTGGTCATTATGGAAATGATCCTGCTGCGTCTGTGTTCTTTAATTTGAGCATCATAAGTAAATCACCCGCAGAACTTTCCACTCCCACCTGCGCTTTTTTGGAATTTTCCCTGTTTAGTAAATCTGGCCCTATGTTTGTTATTAATGGTGAATGCCATTGTTTCTTCTGTAGATTGTAACTGGTTACAAGTGCGAAATTTGAATATGCAAATATTAAAATTGTGCAACTGAAATATGAATAACTAGTATGGAGTAGTAATTAATCACTAGGTTTGGTATATTAATAATATTATACGTTATTGGTTACAAATGCAAAATTTGAATATGCAAATATTAAAATTGCACAAATTAAATATTAATCACAAGTATGCTATTAGCTCTTGTGTTTCTGGTAACTGGTTACAAGTGCCAAATTTGAATATACAAATATTATAATATGCACAAATGAAAGATTAATCATTAGTATAGACTACCTTTATCGTGCTTTTTGGAGTTTCTGTTGATTGATGACGATTTTGGTGATGATTATAAAAAGAGTAAAGCAAACATTCTGCTAGACATCTCCTTTTGAGGATAAATCCTGACTTAAATGCAAAAATGTCCCTTCAGCCAGTTTTATAAACTTCTTGACTTCAAGATTAGTGGTTTTGGAAAGTTTAAGTCTCGATAAGCTGTCAGCACTTCATTCCCTTTGCTCATATCCTCTAGTCTCCAAAGAGAGATAGGTTAACATTTTCCCATTTGCAGGGCAAACCCTCCTCAATCAGGCTGCTTATATGTGACAGGTTTATTGTTCCCTGAAGGGTCCATATCAATGCTGTGTGGAAAAGCAACTGAAAAGGCAATATCTATATCTCTGAATTCAGAATAAAAGCTTTTTCTTACATCTCTGACACAATGGAAGGCATTTTTAACATTTTCAGGGGCAGTTTCACCTACACTGTATAGTATGTTTTTCAGCTGTAATGGATGGCAGACAGAGAGCTGATGATAGATGATGATACAGAGCAGTAAAGAAATGTCTGACACTGAACTGTCATCTGGCCCGGTGTCCATTACCAGACTTATTTCATCAATTTTCTTGAAACAGTGTATGTGTATTTTGAGTGTTCCTAGTTGGATGTGTGAAACTGCGCTACCGTTCAAAAGTTTTTGAAACTACTCTTATGCTTACCAAGGCTGCATTTATTTGATCCAAAATACAGTAAATCAGTAATATTGAGAATTATTATTACAATTTAAAATGACTGTTTTCTAATATATTTTAAAATGTAACTTATTCAAGAAACATCTCTTATTTTTATCAATGTTGAAAACAGTTGTGCTGCCGCTGCGTAATATTTTTGTGGAAACTGAGATACACTTTTTTCAGTATTATTTGATAAATTGAAAGTTAAAACCACTTGAACAGCTTCTTTTTTTTTTTATGAAAATATTTTCTAACAATGTCTTTACTGTTGCTTTTGAATAATTTAATGCAGCCTTGTTGAATAAAAGTATTAATCGTACAGAGACGTTTAACATCTACAAATGTTAGAAATGAAATAGGTTAAACATCTACATTATTTTATTGCACAAAATTATAGTCCTCACAAAAAAAGGAGCCCTATGGATTATGCAAAATAACAGAAACATTATTCATGGCAGGTGATTTGTCCAGGAGTGAAAGGGGATGAATTCAGAGAAGCAACTTCTCTGACAGTTTGCCATGCTGACAGTACTGATAGACTCTTAGTGCACTACATGCTGTCAACATGCTAAAACTGTCTCTGAGAGGTTGCAGCATTCCCTTTAGCCATTGCACAAAAGATTGAAAGGTACTTCAAAATCTCAATAAATGTATCTACCCCACTAAACAACTGGCAGTTGTTAGATGGCTAGTCAACAGTTCTGCCAATCTGTATTACAAAGAACTCCTTGTCACCTTCAGCTGGTCTATGTTCTGTCTTCAGGTAGAGGAGATTGTAGACGTGGGCACGTTTGCAGCAGAAGACATCCACATCCCCAGCGTCTACGTCCACAGGATCGTCAAGGGAGATCTCTACGAGAAACGGATCGAGGTAAGGTGGCGCGACTTGTCTGACTCGTTTCTATCAGTTTTCCTTTATCCATCTATCCTCTGTCATCTTTTTGCCGCCCCTCTGTCTGACATTTTGCAGAGGCGTACAGTAAAGAAAGGCCAGGCTGAAAATCCCAAACCCACAAAAGACTCTGATATTGTGAGAGAGAGGATTATTCGCAGAGCTGCACTGGAGTTTGAGGACGGGATGTACGGTATGTACATTGTTTCGGACCATATCACGTACATTTATCGTTTTAATCTCACTGGACCATTGTTTTATCCTTTAAAGAGATGAAGAGAAGTTCACCCAAAGATGAAAATTCTGTCATCATTTACTCACCCTCACATTGATCAAAACCTGTATAGAGTGCATTAGCGCCCGCCCCCAAAAGTATTTTTCCATTCATTTTTCCTATAGGAATTAAAAAAAAAGTTTTCATTAAAGAGTTATAAGCCGTGAACCAAGCCAATCAGCTACGCGGTGAATCACAACACTACAAACTTTGATTTGAAGCAAAAAAAGTTTTGAAAATCAGACAAAAAGACAGAAGTACAAGACTGTGTACTTAACGGTTTTAGTGAGGGAAAGAAAACTACAATTCAATAAAGAAGTGGTGCAGGTATGACGTAACTTTGTAGGCCAACTGGCAGTTAGCGTCAGGCTGGTTCTCTCGACAAAAACCCAATAGGATTTTTCCATAGGTTTTTGGATTATCGCAAAAAACAAGCTCTGTGATCAACAAAAGTTTATGATTAATTTGACTAATTTGTCCATCAAGATAATTATCACAGATGAACACAACTTTTATGAATTTACAGCGCTTCACTTTTTCCACATTTTGTTATGTTACAGCCTTATTCCAAAAGGGATTAAATTCATTATTTTCCTCAAAATTCTACAAACAATACCCCATAATGACAACGTGAAAGAAGTTTGTTTGAAATCTTTGCAAATGTATTAAAAATAAATACATAAGTATTCACAGCCTTTGCTCAATACTTTGTTGAAGCACCTTTGGCACCAATTACAGCCTCAAGTCTTTTTGAGTATGATGCACCAAGCTTGGCACGCCTATTTTAGGGCAGTTTCTCCCATTCTCCTTTGGAGAACCTCTCAAGCTCCATCAGGTTGGATGGGGAGCATCGGTGCACTGCCATTTTCAGATTTCTCCAGAGATGATCAATCGGGTTCAATCGTCGCCCCATTCTGAGGTCCAGAGCGCTCTGGAGCAGGTTTTCATCAAGGATGTCTCTGTACATTGCTGCATTCATCTTTCCCTCGATCCTGACTAGTCTCCCAGTTCCTGCCGCTGATAAATATCCCCACAGCATGATGCTGCCACCACATTGCTTCACTGTAGGGATGGTATTGGCCAGGTCATGAGCGGTGCCTGGTTTCCTCCAGACATGACGCTTGCCATTCAGGCCAAAAAGTTCAAGTTTGTTTCTCATGGTCTGAGAGTCTGAGAGGTGCCTTTTGGCAAACTCCAGAGGGGCTGTCATGTGCCTTTTACTGAGGAGTGGCTTCCGTCTGGGCACTCTACCATACAGGCCTGATTGGTGGAGTGCTGCAGAGATGGTTGTTCGTCTGGAAGGTTCTCCTCTCTCCACAGAGAAACGCTGGAGCTCTGTCAGAGTGACCATCGGGTTCTTGGTCACCTCCCTGACTTAAGGCCTTTCTCCCCTGATCGCTCGGTTTGGCCGGGCGGCCAGCTTTAGGAAGAGTCCTGGTGGTGCCAAACTTCTTCCATTTACGGATGATGGAGGCCACTCTGCTCATTGGGACCTTCAATGCTGCAGACATTTTTCTGTACCCTTCCCTAGATCTGTGCCTCAACACAATCTTGTCTCAGAGGTCTACAGACAATGGGCTCTATGCACGGCGGTAGGTCTAAGGTGAAGGTCTAAGGATGCTGGATTACTTCCGCCGATCGTAGAGTCCAATGCTATACAGAGAATTTATATTGGTTTTTATACTCTATTGCTATACTAAAGAAACGTTAGTCACGAAAACAGACAAAACAGACACTCCTCATTTTGTTTATGCTTCTGTGTTTATTATATTAAATAAACATAACTATATATAAAATTACATCTAAACGTATTAAAGTTTCGTTTCAAAGACGAGAGGACAGTAAATTTTGAAGACTCTGCCATAATCCCGTTTTCCTCCGCTTTAAATCTCCCCAACCGGAAACGCACGAGCATCCTTGCGTCAAACGCGGAAGTAATGCGTGCATATAGCCCATTTCTTGGACTTTATGGCTTGGTTTGTGCTCTGACATGCACTGTGACTGTGGGTCCTTATATATAGACAGGTGTGTGCCTTTCCAAATCATGTCCAATCAACTGAATTTACCACAGGTGGACTCCAATCAAGTTGTAGAAACATCTCAAGGATGATCAGTAGAAACAGGAAGCACCTGAGCTCAAAAGGATTTGAATACTTATGTACATGTGATTTTTTTTTCCCATTTATTATTTTTAATACATTTTCAAAGGTTTCAAACAAACTTCTTTCACTTTGTCATTGTGGGGTATTGTTTGTAGAATTTTGAGGAAAACAAGGAATTTAATCTGTTTTGGAATAAGGCTGTAACATAATAGGACATAATAGGGCTGCACAGTTAATCAAATTTTAATCACGATCACGATTTTGGCTTCCCACGATCAAATTCGCGTGATCGAGCGATATTTAAAAATGCGTCATTCCGTTCATAGAATGCTCTGTTTTTTTTCAAAGTTTCTTCTTTTTTTTTTTTGCAAAGCCAATCTAGTCTGATCACGTGCCTCCATGAGCCAATCAGAGTTGTTCCCTGCACCGCACAGCTTAGTTTCTAGTTGTAGACTATGACCCCTGGGCCCTGGCGCAAGACTGGAAATAAGCGAAGCGAACTGCGCGAGTGAGCGACACTGCACGAGTATTTAAACGCGCAATTGAATGGGCCTACTCTTCTCACTGCTGATGCTATGACTGTTTGAAATGATCCTGATGCCAATGATTGTAATATAGCTGCACGATTATGGCCTAAATGAAAATCACGATTATTTTGATCAATATTGAGATAGCGATTAATTATCACGATTATTTGTTGATTTTCTTGAGGTAGTCAAGAAACTCCACGGTGGCAAGGCACCGGGGGTGGATGAGATCCGCCCTGAGTACCTCAAGTCTCTGGATGTTGTGGGGCTGTCTTGGCTGCCACACCTCTGCAACATCGCGTGGCGGTCGGGGACAGTACCTTTGGGCTAGCAGACCGTGGTGGTGGTCCCCCTTTTTAAGAAGGGGGAACGGAGGGTGTGTTCCAACTACAGTGGGATCACACTTCTCAGCCTCCCCGGCAAAGTCTATGCCAGGGTACTGGAGAGGAGAATACGGCCGATAGTAGAACCTCGGATTCAGGAGGAACAGTGTGGTTTTCGTCCCAGTCTTGGGGTGCTGGAGGGTTCATGGGAGTTTGCCCAACCAATCCACATGTGCTTTGTGGATTTGGAGAAGGCATTCGACTGTGTCCCTCGCGGAATCCTATGGAGGGTTTTCTGGGAGTATGGTGTCCGAGGCCCTTTGCTAAGGGCTGTCCGGTCCCTGTACGACCGGAGCAGGAGCTTGGTTCGCATTGCCGGCAATAAGTCAGACTTGTTCCCGGTGCATGTTGGACTCTGGCAGGGCTGCCCTTTGTCGCCGGTTCTGTTCATAACTTTTATGGACAGAATTTCTAGGCACAGCCAGGGGTCGGAGGATGTCAGGTTTGGGGACCACACGATTTCGTCTCTGCTCTTTGCGGATGATGTTGTCGTCCTGGCCCCATCAGACCGGACCTCCAGCATGCACTGGGACGAAGCGGCTGGGATGAGAATCAGCACCTCCAAATCCGAGGCCATGGTTCTCAAGCCCCGTTCACACCGCCAGCGACACGCAGCGACAAAGAGACATGATCACATTCATTTCAATGGAACGCTGGCGACATCCGGCGACACGAGCGAAAGTGACCGTTGGCGACAGAATGTGGGCATGTCAAGCGACAAGAGACAAGCGACAAAAGTTGAGAAATTTCAACTTTATGCAAATGAGAAGCGATTTTCGCGAGCGACAACCAATAGGAAAGAAGACTTTCAGTGGAGCTCACGTCACCGTCTCGAGTGCAGGCAAGACAGAATAGTCTGTGGGAGACTGTAACCACATACATGGATATAATAAAATGACGAATGGAAAAGAAACTGTCGACAGTCTTGTAATGTTTGAGTGTTGTAATTTTATGATGCAAGTTTAGGACTGCTGCAGATCATTTTACAGTTTCCCTGCATTATGTTGACTATTAGGGACAAGAAAATTGATTATTTGTCAAATTCGAATGACGTTTTAGTAATTTATGACAGAATGAGTGAGTTTAATTTGTTGATTGATCGATCGTTAATCTAGTAAATGATTTAATCCACTGATCACTGCTGTGGTAATATAAAAACACTCTCCCAACAGCATACTGTTTCTTGTGAGCCTAATTCCTAGTCAAATTAAAATGATATAGTTGTATATGTCACTTCTGATGGTGTTTTGTATAGATATATGGCTAGACGTGCAGTCTACCAATAACATTAGAGCGACAGCACTACGAACGCCCACAAGCGACTTCACAGTACAGAGACAAGCGACATGTAGCGACAAAATCGCTGGCGGTGTGAACGGGGCTTCAGTCAGAAAAGGGTGGCTTGCCCAGTTCAGGTTGGTGGAGAGTTCCTGCCTCAAGTGGAGGAGTTCAAGTATCTTGGTGTATTGTTCACGAGTGAGGGAAGGATGGAACGGGAGATTGACAGACGGATCGGTGCAGCTTCTGCAGTAATGCGGTCGATGTACCGGTCTGTCGTGGTGAAGAAAGAGCTGAGCCGCAAGGCGAAGCTCTCGATTTAATGGTCAATCTACGTTTCTACTCTCACCTATGGTCATGAGCTGTGGGTCATGACTGAAAGGACAATATCCCAGATACTGGCGGCCAAAATGAGCTTTCTCTGCAGGGTTGGCTGGGCGATCCCTTAGAGATAGGGTGAGAAGCTCAGTCACTCTGGAGGAGCTCAGTGTAGAGCCGCTGCTCCTCCACACCGAGAAGGGCCAGCTGAGGTGGCTCGGGCATCTGTTCGGGATGCCTACTGGACGCCTTCCTGGGAAGGTGTTTCGGGCACGTCCCACCGGGAGGAGACCCCGGGGAAGACCTTGGACACGCTGGAGGGACTATGTCTCTCGGCTTGCCTGGGAACGCCTCGGGGTCCCCCCGGAAGAGCTGGAGGAAGTGTCTAGGGAGAGGGAAGGGCATCTCTGCTTAGACTGCTGCCCCCGCGACCCAGCCCCGGATAAGCGGAAGAAGATGGATGGATGGATAGTTTGTAAGAGCACAATTATAAGCATAATGATGCTGTAAAAGTGGACTGAGGTTACCTTTTCGCCGTGATGACGTTTAATCTCCTCGACAGCCTCTGTAGTCCCATTTAGCCACTTGCTAGCAACCGCCTTTTCAAGACAAGTAACAGCTTAAAAAAATCATGAGTGGTGTAATATTGATGTATTTTATGTCGAATAATAAAACGTGAAAGTATCTTGAGCTTGTTTTCACCACATACCTTATTTCAGCCATTTAACAAAAAATCATAAAAAAAAAACATTGAATGATTTCGGGGCAATGGAACCGTAGGTGCTATAATGCTATAACTCTTTGCTACATCATGCTACGTCATTCCTGCTTCACTCTATTTCCAACAGCATAATTAAATAAAAATTACTGGAGAAATATAAAACTACTAATTTACAAATGTTGATATAAAAACAATATATTTTAGTTTTTTTGCAAAATATGCATACATATGTATAAATACACACACATACACACACATTTAAGTATTTTGAGAGCATAGAAAGATGGATTCGGTTACGTCATTCATGGGAGTGGGCGGAGCTAATGAGATCTTTTGGCACGTGTTGCTTTTTTGTATTCTCTGATTGGTGTGATTTTCTGTACATCATCATATGTAATGTAATGTTACACCAGAAATTCAGCTGTTAAACAATTATTTCAAAACTAAACTGAAATAATGTGAGCTGACATCTTCAGAGTCTTCTTTAAAGGTTTATAAGTTATCGTTTAAAATCAGTTTCCCTTTGGAGAAAACGAATGGAGGTTTTACCTGACTGTAGCACTATATTACTTTTTTTTAAACAAATTTGCCATGCAATTACAACGAATAAGGACTGAAGCTTTCAAAGTACCATAAAACCGATTCACACATCTTGTGTGCTATATTTCAAGTCTTTTGGAGCCATATGGTAGCTTTGTGTGAAAAACGTACTGAAATAGCTTTTCCTTTAATTTTAACAGATTATTGGAAGCAACAATGGTTTTATTGTTTACTAAAATGACATTTCCTGTGTGTCTCTCATGATAATTTTTTAATGCCGTTTGAAACCTTTTTAGCTAACCTGGGCATTGGAATCCCCATGCTGGCAAGTAATTTCATTAAACCAGATATTACCGTCCACCTGCAGAGTGAAAATGGCATTCTGGGGCTGGTAAGCTCTTCTTTAACAGATTTGTATTGAATTTGCTAAATGCATTTAGAAACATTATTGAAAAACCATCTGTTATGATTTTAATTATTATGTTAATGAGAGAAAAACACTCACTTAATGAGAGAGTTGTTTGAATCTAGTTGTTTTTAAGTGTGCACTTTAATTGCATCTGTAGTTTATATGAGAAAAATATTAATGGCAAATATTACCATTATCCGATATACTGTTATGCTATCATATATAAAATTAAAAATAGTGAGTGTAGACATAAAACCATTAGATCTGTGTAAATGTCTTTTGTCTACATGAAGCAGGAGTTAAATTCTTGTCTCCATTTAACTATAAATCTTGTTGTTGTTTGTTGTATATTTCTTTTTTAATATGAGCCGAGTGATTTTTGCACTCATCATAAAAGCATTAATGAGTACTTCTTTTTTTTATATTTAATTCAGGGCCCCTACCCAACAGTGGAAGAGGTTGATGCAGATCTTATCAATGCTGGTAATAATTATCCCTCACTTTCATTTTTGTAGACAGTTATACAGCATTATCATTGCATAAATTGCCTTTTAATAACCTAATTTGTCCATTCAGAGCACTTAATGAAAGCTCTTTCCATTTCACCCTTACCCTTTCAGGTAAAGAAACTGTCACAGTTCTTCCTGGAGCAGCCTATTTCTCTAGCGACGATTCCTTTGCCATGATCAGAGGGTAAGTACAAATCACATTTTAGTCTTCAATCAAATATAAGGGCTTTTTTTGTAACCATTTCCACAAAACATTTTTCACAAGTTGACTTTATTTTTAGTTGGTTGGTCCTCAGACAGGCTGAGTACTTTGACCCAAATGATAAAACTTTTAAAGAAACCAGCTGTGGGTGGAAGAGCTCTCTTAGACATTCCGATAATAAATGTGACTTTCTGTGTTGAATGAAGTGCCGTGACTGTTTTGGGGCGTAAGGGCTTGATTTGCAGCTGGTAAAAAATATGTAGTTGTTTTCTGAGTGTTAATGGTGAATGTGTGGAATGGAGCGGAGGCAGAATATGCAATGAGTCGGCCATGACGCTGACTGCGCCTTTGGGCACGTTGGCTGACATTTTCAGCTCTGTCAAAACAGGTGGCTACTTTAATTGGATGCTTCTTGTACTGCTCAGTAGGGTGAGACGGCCGGAATGAAGGTGCTTTGTCTCTCCCGGTGCCTTCTGGCCTTCACGGAGAAACCTGCGGTGCTGTCAATAAAGCAATTGACTCTTGCTGGTCTTAAGTGCGGGAGTGTGTAATTCTGCATCCTGTGTATGTGAATATCAATTTCCTGACGACACCAAGTGTTCATGTGTTGATTTTCCCAGTGTACTGTATTAACACAAAGGCGTCCAAAAGCTACTGAGTCCAAAAGCCAAAAGCCACTGAGAAAATACTTCTCTTTTTGTCTAATTTAATTAAAAACAATATAAAAGATTATTTATTTATTATTTAAATGAATAATTTGAAAACAATGTTATTAGCAGCATAACAACTTAATTTTTTTTTTGAATTTCAGGATGAGTTAAATAAAAAATATGTATGTGTATATATACATATTTTTTACATTTTATACATATTTTTTATTAAATAAAAAATATGTATGAATGCATGTATGTGTGTGTATATATTATATATATGTATATGTTTATTTGTTTGTTTATTTATTCCAGCTATTTAGTGAAGTCACAAGATTAAATTTATCTTTAATAATGCATAGCTGTATGTTAAGCATTAGTCCCATGTCGTTTAGAAAACTCCCCGTTGATGTTTTATGAGCCTTATCGATTTTTCCACAGGCAGCTGACGCCGCCCTCCCACAAGCCTCAGAATTATTTCTGTGTTCGCCGTCTGCGAATCCAGCAGCGGTCGTATATTTAGGCCTTAATTGTCTGGTGCAATAGGGAGCACTGTGAATGGTCATGGGGTCTTTGCTGTACCCGGCACAAGGGGAGTCATGACAGCACATACATTAAGAATAGAGCACTTCCACCCACTTACAGTCTGTCTGTACATTCATGAATAAGGCCATCACAATCCAGTGGTTTAGTGGTGCACTATTTCAAGCCAATAGGCTTGACTTTTCGGCACACAGGTCCTTACTACTCAAATGATTTAGTCTAGTCTTTTCAAGAAAGTGTTGAGGTTTTTTTGTTTTTTTGTTTTTTTGAATGGCCTTTTGAAATTGACAATTTTGCCTAAATCAAGTGTGTATTGAGCTTGAATTACTAGTTATAAAGGAAGTACTGAAGTTCACCCTAACATAAACTGGTGAACTATTTATTTCAATTGTTTGTCAGCATTGACCTAAGTAATAATCTTGCATTTGTTAAGTAGTCCATGACCAAACGACATGATCTCATAACAAAAATAGTGGCTTATTGTTCTTATTCTTATGAGGATGTCCGTGTTCTCAGTGTTTTATTACAGCTTTGAAACCAAATTCTTTTGTTCCACATTCAAAAAAATATCATCTTATAATTCTATTATATTAAATTAGTGAGACCAAACAGATTAGTTTAAGTGCCTAACTCTGCATCTGTCTTCTAAATATTTAGGGCCTGAGCACCGATGGTGTGAGGACCCTATTGGAATTGCTCCGTTTATTAGCCATGATACTCCTGAGGAAAGGTGCAGTCCCGAAGCAAAGATTTCCCTACTCAGATTTCGTGAAAGGTTCAGTTGGTCACTCGATTTTGCTGCGTTGACCGATAGAAAGCTGCTTCGTTTGACATCCTGAGCTGTGCTTCACATTGCTACTCTATTGACAATAGACAATGGGCCTTTTTTGCCAGTGAATTTTTGCCGAAATGTGACCGCACCTTAATTTTTGCATTGATGTCTTTTTTTTCTTTCCTCTAGGGGTCATATCAATTTGACCATGTTAGGAGCCATGCAGGTATCCAAATATGGAGATTTGGCCAACTGGATGATTCCGGCAAGTTCACAATTTCATTCATTTATTGGTACAATATGTCAGACTGACCAGGCAGAGTGAAGCTGAAATGTTACTTGGTTCAGTCCAGCCATTTGTGTCGCACACACAAAACATTTTGGCTACTGCATGTTGTTTTGTAGGTACAATATGTTTGTAATTACATTTTCTGCTGTCCTTCTCAAGTATTTTATAATAGAGACTTGTGTAAAAGGTAAAGGCTCATTCATAGTTTCATCACACATACATTCATTGCTGAATCAAACCAAACTTCAAGACTATCATAGAACAACTCCAATTCTTTCCCTTCTTTCCATCTGTATCTTTGTTCCAAATTTCCAAATTATCTCGAGAGCTTTCCTTTTGTTTTATGGAAATCAATGAGCAGCTAATGACAGAACTCACAGCATGAAATCAGAAGTGATTTATGCAAAAGATGATGTTCTCTGAGGAGCATAAATACAGATTTATGGTCTAATTTTACAGCTTTTATCTTCTCCTTTCAAGCGGAAAAAAAGAAGTTGTCACTGAGGTAGCACTTGTACAAACCCATGAAGAGTTTAATTTATACTGTAACATTTGGGATAACAATTGCATAACAATTTTGGTCAGGATATTAGCTAGAACAAGATACTCAACTTTTTTTTACTTCAGGATCCAGATTTTACATTTAGATTTTACTACTGATGACCCAACAAGGTACTGTTTTTTTTTAATAAATAAAGTAACTATATTTGTTTAAAATAGAAATGTATTATTATCATTATTACTATTATTATACTTTCTTTAATATAATGTTTTTTTCCTATAAAAAATACAAACACACACACACACACACACACACACACACACACACACACATACATACATATATATTGTATTTTTGATCAAATAAATGCAGCCTTGTTGAGCATAAATGTATTTATCTAGTGTGTGTGTGTATTTATGTATTTATTTAGGCTCTTTTTGGGACACAATCCACCAGTTGAGAACTACTACTTTGACCACTAAAAGAACCACAATAAATAAAACTAGTAAAACTCAACAAATGAATTGCACAGTATACAGTGTGCACTAACATAAGCTCCAGTTAATCAGACTCACTGCATGTCAAAGCAGTTTCCTTTCCATTATAAGTTTACTTGCGTTCACATTGTTCAGTACTACTCCTTACAGTCATCCAAGTATTGTCTGCATGTCTGTTAGCCTGCTATTATTGGCCTAAATCCAAAGTCATTGCTTCCCTTTAGGTTATTAAAAGGGTTTCCAAGGCTTAATGTGAGTCAATGTTGGCTGTGGTTTTTTGGAGCCATTCTTCAGCTGGCTGTCGCCTGTGGCGCCTGGTCCTTGCGCTCAGTTGAGGGGCTGTCGATACACAGCTGCCCTGCATACAGACACCTCTGCAGGGTTATTTATAGTTCTCCAGGGCCCTCGCCCTGTCACTGACTGATGCCTCCCAGCCTCCCGGCCCTCTGCCTGTCTCGCTTATCGAGTTTGCTTGAAGGTTACTTCTCGCAAACTGGCACACATGGACCATGAGCTGCACTCTGCTTTCAGGGATGTTTTCCCCCCTCCCTGTCTCTTTTTTTGTGGCCCTTGCTTTTTTTCAAGTCTCCTCACTTGCACTTTGACAAGGCCAAAACGTGAAGCATACGCTGATATGCAGAGATTACACTCATGAAACGTGCTACTTAATGGGCCCTATTTTAACGATCTGAAACGCAAGTGTCAAAGCGCAAAGCGCAATTAACTTTGTGGGCGGATCCCGGCGCTGTTGCTATTTTCCCGGCGGGATAAATGCCTCTTGCGCCAGGCGCAAATCTAAAAGGGGTTGGTCTGAAGTAGCTTCATTATTCATAGGTGTGGTTTGGGCGTAACGTGAAATAAACCAATCAGAGCGTCATCTCACATTCCCTTTAAGAGCAGGCGCGCTTGTTCTAAAGCGGATTCCTATTATAACGGCGGATTTGCCAGGCGCGCGCCAGGAGCGGTCATAGCCGAGGAGAGCAACGTTCTCGTCAGGGCCGTAAAACACAGAGAAGTGACATTGGGGATGGAGAAACCCACCCAAATTAACTTCTGTTAAACAGGCGTATGATAATTTGGGTAAATGTGTAAGCTACATGTATGCTTTTATAATAAATTGTCTATCTATCTATCTATCTATCTATCTATCTATCTATCTATCTATCTATCTATCTATCTATCTATCTATCTATCTATCTATCTATCTATCTATCGTAATAATGTATGATTTGCAAAAATGAAAACTGCTGCTTAGATGAGAGAATCAACGTGTATGCGCGTTGTGCACACGCTACATTGATTATGGCCAAGCATGCGCGCTTAAAATAGCATTATGAACAACCCGCACCGGGCCACTGACTTTAGACTAGTTTTTTTCTGGTCAGTGGCGCAATTGTTTTATGGAACTGCAAAATAGCATGAGGGAAAGTTTGCGCCGGAACACGCCTCCTCTTTGCGCTGAACCGCCCCGGGGAGCGCAAGTGTATTTCTTAGTTAACCGACGTGCGTCTGTGGAGGGAAAAGTCCGCTTTGCGCGGGTGCAAAATAGGAATGATACATGCGTCAGTGTACAAAGTCATTTGCGTCGGTTGCAAGATAGAGCCCAATGTGTCTGAGATGGCGAAGATATGGATTGGTGAGCTGATAACATTTAAATTAAAGCATTTTTCAGAGGCGTTTTATCCAAAGTGACAGCGACAGAGCATTCAGAGTATACAATTTATCACTTTTTGTATTCGAATTACACAAAGTGTAATCAAACACCTGACCTTGGTGTTGCTAGTACCTTGCTGTACCAATCAAGTTACAGTCCCCCTATAATAGAGCTTCAACGAGTGCTGGGCAGAATAGGCTTTGGTATATTATATTGTGCATTTCATTGTATGATAAAATTCCATCCGTACATCCATCCATCCGCTATCTGTGGGGACATCAGGATACATTATCAAAGATAAATTGATTTGCATGCAGTGCTACAGAGTGTGCTGTTCTAAGCTGTCTTTAGCCTTTAAACTCTTAATGAATCAGACAAGCCTGGCAGACTAATCACAATAATCCCTCCAATTACTGTGGGCTCCCCGGCCACCTCTCAAGACTAAAAGGACAACAGGCTGTAATGTTGCCAGAGGGCCTAGAGCTGGAAGACTCATATTATCAAGAGAAGAACGGGGACATTACTCAACCCCTCCTCTTCCATCTGCTCATCGACTGATAGCAGCTCTCCTTTTCCTCAGCATCCCAAAAATGATGATAAAGACATGCTACATCAAATAGTCATAACATTTTCGACAGGGGCCCAGTACCAGTAAAAGAAGAAGAGTTGTGGCAGGGTGTGGCAGATTGAGCTATTATTTTGGGGAGATTTTTTGTGGGTAACTGTTGTTCAGCTGTTATTATTAATTATCCCTTTTCAGACCATTAGTCAGCAAATCTTCGGTAAACACCACAGGTGTTATGATGGCGACAGGTATGAAGGTTAATATTTAATTTAACCAAGCTGACATGTTGCTAAAACAACACAGATCACCAATGGATTACTCACTTTCCAAACCACCACCAGAATACCTGTGGTAATGTTCTGAACATAGAGAGTCAACTGTCACGCATGCATATGCATTACAGTTTTTTTCAATCGCTAACAAGCGCTTACCCATACTTCAGATACTTTTTCTAAACTCTTAACACAGACTCACACCTACAAAACACAATTGGCCAAATGGTTAATTTTCTTCTCAAAAACACATTTCGTTAAATATATACTAACTCTTCATTTCAAAATAGAACACATCTTTCTCTGCACACACTAACTTTACCAAAACACTGAAAATCTGTCTCAAAATGAAATTATTCTGTCAAAGAATAACACTTGTTTTCACTTCACAAGGTACATGCAGTCAATCAAAGTACACCAGGTTTCAAAATACTGGCTATTGTTGACATTACAAAAACTGCATAGACTTTGATGTTTCAGTTTTACAGGTATTTGCATGCAAAACATGCAATCCAACCTTTTTACACTAAATTTCTTGGTTGGGAACTGTATGTCCACATGTACAGTAATGTTCACATAGAAAAGCATTCTAGTAAAAAGCAAATCAGTTTTTTCCCTTTACTGTTTACAACAGGAGGTACAGTAGAAACACGGTATGAAAAAAACAGAAAAAGTTTTACAGTATTGCTTACAAAAAAAGCACAAAATTACTGTATCTAAACTCTGCGATCTTCAGGGTTAGGCCACATGTTTTCATCAAATATTTCACTTCTGCACCTCTCACTGCACCTCTCACTGCACATCTCACTGCACCTCTCACTGCATCTCTCACAGCATCTCTCACTGCATCTCTCACTGCATCTCTCACTGCATCTCTCACTGCTGCTCTCACTGCACCTCTCACTGCATCTCTCACTGCATCTCTCACTGCATCTCTCACTGCACTTCTCACTGCACATCTCACTGCACCTCTCACTGCACCTCTCACTGCATCTCTCACAGCATCTCTCACTGCATCTCTCACTGCATCTCTCACTGCATCTCTCACTGCTCCTCTCACTGCTGCTCTCACTGCACCTCTCACTGCATCTCTCACTGCATCTCTCACTGCATCTCTCACTGCACTTCTCACTGCACATCTCACTGCACCTCTCACTGCATCTCTCACTGCTCCTCTCACTGCATCTCTCACAGCACCTCTCACTGCATCTCTCACAGCATCTCTCACTGCATCTCTCACTGCATCTCTCACTGCATCTCTCACTGCTCCTCTCACTGCTGCTCTCACTGCACCTCTCACTGCATCTCTCACTGCATCTCTCACTGCATCTCTCACTGCACTTCTCACTGCACATCTCACTGCACCTCTCACTGCATCTCTCACTGCTCCTCTCACTGCATCTCTCACAGCACCTCTCACTGCATCTCTCACTGCTCCTCTCACTGCTCCTCTCACTGCATCTCTCACTGCTCCTCTCACTGCACC